GGTGACTTTGGGCCAATCGCCAGGAGACGGTGAGTTCTAGTCCCGCCTTAGACGTGAAAGCCAGCTGGGTGACTTTGGGCCAATCACCAGGAGATGGTGAGTTCTAGTCCCACCTTAGCCATGAAAGCCAGCTGGGTGACTGGGCCAATCACCAGGAGACGTTGAGTTCTAGTCCCGCCTTAGACATGAAAGCCAGCTGGGTGACTTTGGGCCAATCACCATGAGACGGTGAGTTCTAGTCCCGCCTTAGACATGAAAGCCAGCTGGATGACTTTGGGCCAATCCCCAGGAGTTTGCAACTGAACAGTTGTAGCAGAAAAGGTTTTTTACTTAACAACCATCATGCTTAGCAACAGAAATATTGGCCCCAATTCCCGTTGCTAAACAAGTCACCTCAGGTTTTATGATCTTTTTTACGACCGGTTGGTTAAGCCAATCCCTGCATTGGTTAAGTGAGTGACGCAGTTGAGAAACGAATCCAACTTCTGCAATTGGTCAGAAGCCGGTTGGGAAGGTCGTAAGTGAGGATCTCATGACCCCCGGAATGCCGCAACCGTCGTAAATACGAGCCAGTTGCCAAGCATCTGAAATTTGATCCTGCGTGACCATGGGCACGTGACCACGGGTCACAAGTGCGAGGATTGGTTGTCGGTCACCTTTTTCTTCCCACAAGACCAGAGGATGCTTGCAACCATTGGACACCCATGCCAGTGGCCAATTTCTATGGTCGTAAGTGCGAGGACTAGTCGTAAGTGACCTTTTTCCGTGCCGCCGTAACTTGGAACAGTCGCGACATGAATGGATGTAAGTCGAGAACGGTTTGTAATTAAGGTAGCTGGGGACTTGAGTGCTTTTAATGGGCTTCTACGGGTCTGTAGCCAGTATTGGGTTTTGAGAGGTAAAGAAATCTTAATTTTTAGCCCCGTAGGTGAGGAAAAAGAAGCATTTTTCAAAGAGACCCCAACTGTTTCCATTTTATATTCTCAATTTTCCCTCCTGCCCTTTTAAAGTTATATCCCTGCAGAGGTGCCATTGGAGGGTTCGTAAATAGGATACCATTTTTGATTAATTGGGTAGTTCTAATATGTTTATGATGTTATTCATGAGCTTGTTTAACATGGTTTAATTTGTCTGTTCCCCATGGAGGCCCCGGTTGCACTGGAAGGGGACTCATAAATAATTCCATAAATAAACTCTTCCTAAGTATGAAATGGTAAAAAAAAAAAAGAGACTGAATTAGACTTCTCCGTGTCTTGCACCCTGTTTCTGCGGCGCCTGAGATGGATGGGAACTGTAGTACGCTTGACTTACAGTCACTCATTTAGGGACTGTTCAAAGTTACACAATGGCGGCACTGGGGAAAAAAACGGAAACTAACCGGTTACTCGCCCTTACAACCGTTGCGTGTTTTCTCCACGGTCACGTGGTCAAAATGTGGACGCGTGGCACCTGGCGTGTATGTATGAGAACGGCAGTGTCCGCAGGTCACATGATCCCATTTGTGACCATCTGACAATCAAAATCAAATGGGGGAAGCCAGATTTGCTTAATGACCGCACAATTCTCCTAACAACTGCAGGAGGGGGGGGGGAGAGAGAGAGATGATATATAGATATTGTAGATAGGCAGAAGACAGAAATGGATGGATAGATGGATGGATGGACAGACAGGTATATAGAGATATCTATCTATCTATCTATCTATCTATCTATCTATCTATCTATCTATCTAATCTATGTATCTATCGTTATCTATCTTATATATCTACCTTCTCTATCTTATCCATCTATCTCATCTATATCTGTCTGTCTGTCTGTCTGTCTATCTATCTATCTATCTATCTATCTATCTATCTATCTATCTATCTATCTCTATCTGCAAAATGCAACTCACGCATCATCACAAAATATCCACAACCGTAAAGCCTACAAACTTGAAATTTGGCCCATAGGTTCCTCTTGGCTTCTAGCTGCTCACTAAGAAAAGATTTTTCGAAATGACCATCAGAGCATTTAGAGTATTTCCTATATGATTATTATCATTAACACGCTCTGATGCTAAGGAGTTCTACTCCCCCTCCCCACCTGAAAAGAAATCTCTTCCAAAGGCAAAACACAAGCGGAGGAGAGGAGGTTCGGTTTTACTTTCACAGCAGCACCAAGCAGCTTTAGTACAGAACAGTTGAGCTAAGCCACGCCCAGGCTCCTTGCTGTCTCCTTCTTGCTCACACAGGAAATACTCTTTCAGTTTCCAAACAGCCCTCAACTCTCTCACACACTGACAGGATGCTAGCCAGATGAATACCGATGGATGCTGGTAGGCAGAGGCAGAATCTTTTACCCTTATTTTCCTCCCCAAAAACTAAGCCCGACCACGTAGTTTCGTAGCGAAGCACGGGCATCGAGCTAGTAAGCCATATTTTTCAGGGCACTTTCAACAGTCACTAAACGAACTGTCGTAAACTGAGGACTACCTGTCGGAGAAATATCGAGTTTTAAAAATCAAAGCGGCAGAAGCAGTTCACAACTAGGTAGTCCTCAGCTTAGGACTGGTTGCTTGGTTCAGAGTTATGACGGATTCCCCTTAAAGGCACGGACTGGGTGTGGGGGGATTCTGGGAGTTGAAGTCCACACCTCTTAAACATTGTTGATGAACACTGACAGTGTTGCTTGGGCCTCACAGAACGGATGGACAAGCCTGTTTGCAAAGATGGCTTGTGTGAATGAGCCACTCCCCTGACCTGCCCACCCACTTAAAATTTAAGGTTTTTCTGTTTCAACAAAGTCACAAACCCTTAAAGAGGGACATATCCTGGAGGGTGTCAAAAATAAATAAAATAAATCAAGATGCCATGGTGGAATAAAGGGGTCGGGGGTGGGGGGGGAATGGACTTCAGTTACACAG